GACTATTTCATTACAACTTTTGGCCATTTTCCTTTTATGTCAAGACAAGACCAATATCGTAGCCTGTAATGAGATTCCAAACGTTCCATTTCTAATTGACAACTCAATTGACAGCAATAATGACTATTTATGATACCGGTAACTGTTCATTCCTAGAGCTTTCAAGGACTCAAAGGCGTTTTTTCCAGGACTTCCCAGTATATTCCCGGACAGTATGAACTCATGATATTAATAACATTAATGTATGACACTATTTTCCATAAAATTTATTGTTTTTTAGATTCATTCTTGAAATGTTGTCATATTTTACCTTGATATAAGACTATGATGAGTTGGAGGAATTCTTTGAATGAAATGTAACCATTCTTGTCTTTATCGGCCAATTCAAACATCTGTTGTATAAAATCATTGTCTGATTTCATTGATAGAGAGTCTGCAAACTCGGACAGTGTCAATTCACAATCTAATATCTCCCTTGTCTTCGGATCACTCTCTAAATCAGTTGAGTCAATGCTTTCTCTGCAAACCTAGAAACCAAAGCATATATGTTATTGTTTATTATCCATTTATTCTATTCTATTTTATTCTATTCCATTCCATTCCATTCCATTCCATTCTATTCTATTCTATTCTATTCTATTCTATTCTATTCTATTCTATTCTATTCTATTCTATCCTGTTCTATTCTATTCTATTCTATTCTATTCTATTCTATTCTGTATTCTAGTCTCTATTCTATTGTATTCTATTCTATTCTCTATTGTATTCTAATCTATTCTATTCTACTCTACACTAACCTATTCTATTGTGTTCTCTGATATTCATTACTATTTCAATCTGTCTTTATTCTATTCTATTCTATTCTATTCTCTATTCTGTATTCTAGTCTTTATTCTATTCTATTCTCTATTGTATTCTAATCTATTCTATTCAATTCTACTCTACACTAGTCTAGTCCATTCTATTAAACTCTCAAACTAACCTATTCTATTGTGTTCTCTGATATTCATTACTATTTCAATCTGTCTCTATTCTATT